AGTCGACGCCTGCGGGCCTCGTGCTAGTTGGTTTAAAATCCCTGCGTTAGAAATTGGAGCGTCGGTTGCTGTATCAGTTGCAGTAATACGAAAATAACTCTTTTTGAATTTTAAACTTGTAAATTCTGTTCCCATCCCATCCCCCCCCACTGAATTCAAAGAGGTTTCAGTGGGCAAGACTTGAGTTAGCTGCATTACCTAGAAGGATTTTGAAACTCCTCATCTTTCATGTAGACAAGTTTGTCTGTTTTGGCGGAAGGCCGGGCAGGGTGGCATGTAGTAGACCCACACATCCATGATGCGTGCACTTCTGTAGGCTTTGAGTGCTCCCGCAACGGGAGAGCAGAGCCAGAGGAAGCGGCTTGAGTACGTGTTTGATTGTTGAAAGTGCCTCTCATCCTAACACGAGCTCTAGTCAGTCTGGCCTGGCTTACTTCAGCAAGAGGCAAAGTACCAGTTACATAAAACTTACCGTGAGGAGCTTCGGAAGGGAAAAGAATTGAGAAATCAAAGAACTTGAGAAATGCGGTTTCTCTCTCGCTTGTTCTAGTGGCGTAGATTGCCCAGACAAGAGGAAGCCCCCGTATACTAGTTTCCAGCCATGAATAAGTTTCTTTTCTGGCTTTTCAAATAAATGGTTAGATTTTTTGTTTGCTTGCTTGGTTTTATTGTGTCTGCATCATCTCCTGGTGTGAGGCAAACCACAAATCTTTGCAATTTGCTCTCTAACGTCTTGGTTTCCGGTGCTCATTTGAAACCCCAGCAATGATGCCGCTGTCTGTAGAAGAATTAAGAAGCCCAAAGGATTATGATAAAATATAAATACAATTAATTGTATTTAATTTAAAAGCAGCAGCAGACTTGAGACTTGTTTTAGAAATATTTCTTAAAATAATCTTTAAGAATAGGAGATATCTGTAACTGAGACAAATGTGTACATTTATCCAAACAACATTTTCAGCTTTCTAGGTAAGCGTTAACTTTTTGAGCGATAGACGCTTATATTGTCCTACATTAAAAATATAATTCTTAACATCAGTGTCTCTGTTTAGAACTTTTTATTGGAAAATTAAAAAAATCAAATCTATTAATAGATTTAACGTACATGTGGAAAGACATGGTGCTTTATATCCAAGAAAAAATAAAGTAGAAATGCAGCTCTTTTTCACTTGTGCTTGTACCAGGCGCGACTTGTGAACGCTGCAATGGTGGGGTGGATGGAGCGTCCCACAGGACCCCCCCCCCCCCCCCGCACCCTCCCTGGCTCAGTGATCTACTGTGGGGGAACCTTGGGTGCCACCCCAGACCCAGGAGTCAGCAGTCACTGAGCTGGGGTGGTGGGGGGTGCACGCCACGTGACCTGGAAGCGCTTCTTGTCCACTTCCGGGTTCGTTGCCGAGCCCTCTGGGTACCCCCGCTGCGCTCCCATGGGACGCTCCATCCGCCCCACCATCTCAGCATTCACTAGCTACCTGGTACCTTGAGGTATGTAGAAAAAACATTTAAAGCTGTATCTATGTTCAAATCATTGAATCTTTCTGAATATCTCCAAACTGATTTGGAGGGTTCCAATTCGATTCTGAGATGGTAAAGGGTCTCCTGATTCTATTTGGATTCAGAGGTTCGACCACCAAATCGAGCCGAATATCCACCGAATTGAATCGGCGACTGACGATTCGTACAGCCCTAATGGAAAAGCTGTGCAGTGAGTTTATATTTTATGGTAAATGTTACACTTGCACTTTATAGTCAGTAGAGCAAGAGTGAAATGACATTTGAGACTTCAAGAAGTGTTTTGAACTCTTGCGTTTTTTCTTTCTCTCGGGCCTTGTCTTCATAGGTAAAGAGACGAAAAAAGGGAGAGTAGTCAGCTCAAATCTGTTAGCCTGTGACTCCAAAAGGATTAAGAAGGGTTTTGGGTTAGGAAGGCTTTTCTGTTGTGTTAAATTGATGCAAGAGAACATGATGGTCTACCAATGTTAGGATTGGGCTGTTCAACCCAATCCTGTCTCCTGATAGGAACAGGTTCACTTACTTTCCAAACATATGGTATGTTGATACTGCGGACTTACCATGCCAAGGCAGCGGCAGTACTTTCAAAATACCGCATTGCTCTGGACTTCATCAGGTCTAGTTCAGGAGGTAGTTTTGTTCTCATGGTGCTATAGGTGGGCGAACCAGCATGATACAGATTGCCCCAGCTCCCTGGTTTGGAGCCAGCGCAACTATCCTGCTTCCAAATTGGGGATCTAGACACCCTGGAATATCATGCCATGCGTGAAGGTGCCTCTATCTGCCATATCTTGCAGTGGAGCCATAGCAGGAGCTTTTTGTATGACTTGAAATACTTGGAAGTACTACTGTTGATTGCATAATACAGGTTTGCAGCTTGTTCTGAGACTTTGTTGTTCTTGCTGCCTAGTTACATTACATATATATAAAAAATACATGGTTGTTGTGGTTTGTATGGTGTTTTGTAAATAGATCTAACATTTTAACTGTTTTGTTTCAGTTCAAATTTGAATATCAATGATGTCCTGGGAAACTATTCACTAACTCTGATTGACGCACTGGATACCTTAGCGGTGAGTTGCCAAAAAACTGTACTTTTAAAGGTCTTAGTACAAGATAAATGTGCAGATTGCAATGGTTTTTGCTAGCAACTGTGATCCTGAGGGGAAATGAATCATGACCTAAATAGCTTTTGGGAGGGCAGGGGAGGGCTGGGGGAGGAGAAAGGAACTGGAGGCAGGAAGATTGAAGGCAAGGTAAAGGTATGCAACAAGCTAAGTTAATTTAACCGGTCTAAATTCCTTGTAGAAGAGGAACATATGCAGTTGCAATGGTTTTTGTCCTGTGCTTAAGTTTCCTTTGGCTTGCATGCGGTCTTCAGTAGGAATAGTCCAGTCAAGCTTTCTTTTAAGCTGTGTAGCTGCTGTATGTATATTATATGGACAAAGTGGTAGAATTTTTTTAATGGCAGCTCTTTGACTCCACCTTGAGTAAATTAAGAACTCCTGAAGGGAAGTTGAAAAGGGCATAGCAGGAAATAGGAAAGAACAAACTGAATTTTACAAATTCAGTTAAAGCCACTTTGTATGTGTGCTGTCTTGCCAGGTGTAGTCTCTTTGGGTGTGAAATGCGACCCTCTTTTAATGCATAATTCTTTCTCTGTCCTCCTGCACGTTGTGGCTATAAGTTTGGGTCATACTTTGTAAGTGTCTTCTCTCTCTGAATCCCACCCATATTGGTCTACCTCTTGTACGTTAAACTAATGCCAATCCGTGTCAGTAAAGTGACTTAATTTCAGTGTCAGTGCTCGCCATTTTACGTACCTGTCTTGGATAGAAGTGTAGCCTTACTGTTAGGCTTTCTACTAACCAAAATCTTATGTTTACTGCTAGGAAGATGTTAAAAATAATACAGAGTTAATCTGCTCTGCCACATGTAACGGTGTTTCAGGCAGGTGGAAAGGGGTTGGGTGTTTTTTTGCTACTATGCATGTGCACTGCAATTCTTCCATGTTTTGTAGTCTCTCCTTATGTTAAAAAGTCAGCTTTTTGGATTACCAGCTGCTCACTGCTACCTGAAAATGTTGTCTTCCCTGCATGAATGCTGCAGTTGGATATCTGGGATTCATGAAAGATTGCATACAAAAGAACCAGATCTGCGTTCTAAACTAAGTTATTTCCCTGCTGCTGAAATGGATTACATCTGTGTGGTGAAAAGCCACAGGCGTCCAGCAGCGCACAGCAGTGTTTTACGGAACGCTTACTCTTAGAGCAGGAAGTGAAAAACATTAACTGACATAACAGTTAAAGGCCTGTGGGTAAAACAGCTGGCTTGTTTTCCTGGCCCGGGAAACTTCCTGTTGCACCCCAGTCTCTTGGGGTGGTTTTATTCTTGCATATTACACTTTGACAAAATCTCACAGAGGGCTGTCCCTTGGCCCACCTTGAGCTACTGGTCTTGGAGACTCCTTTCCTCCTTATCTCTACTACTGCAGCTTCACGGCTGGGTCTGATAATTGTACATGGCAGATTGGCAGGTCCAGGTTCAACAAGCTTGAAAAGGAGCTGACCACCCTCTTACAGAATTTTAGTGTGTACTTACTCGAGCTTGAACCTGGCCTTCCCCCTTACGTTTGGAGGAGACAGTGTAGAGCACTAGAGGTTACTACCCTTCAAGGCTACACTGGGACATTGGCTCTGTACTGCAGGTGTTACTGACCAAGTGCTGAGTTAGGACATACGACAGAGCATAGGATGTGGACACATGGTGTACAGCCCTGTTTTGCTGTTAATTACCAGAGGAAAAAATCCTCAGAGGGTAAAATTGTATATTTGAAGCTGCAGTTACTTTCTGCAGCACTGGCAGGTTGTGTATTTCTCTTGAGGTCTTCCATTTAAGGTACTGATCTTGTTTGATTTGTGTATTCACAGCATAAGGTAGTCTAACTGCCTTTGCAACAGTATTGCAGTTGTCAGTGAAAGGAAGATGTATGCTGCTGTCCTCCTCTCATTTTATTTATGTTTTGGAGTAGCTTCTGCATTAAAATGCAGTCCTTTGGTAGAACTGCATAAACTGTTTGGCAGAAATGGAGCCATATTTAAAAAAAAAAAAAAAGGGGGGGGGGGTTATTATTTTTTCGGGTTTTTGAAAGGAAAATTTTTTGTATTTAAAAAAAAAAAAAAAAAAAAAAAAAGTTGGTGCGTGTCATTAATTTTTCAGGTATTTGTAAGGTAGATATTTTGTACTTAATAAAATAATGCTCAGTATATCTCTACCTTTTCATTTGATCAAGAGATGCCCAGAAAGGGAAATGAATGATTTTTCTAGTGGATTCTGGCACACTTTTTATTTCTGCTATATATGCCACTGGAAGACAAGCTGTCTGTTGTCTTTTAGGAAATAAACTCTGGCTTAGGGGTGAGTCTACTAAAGTTGTAGAAGTATGAGTTGGAATTAAGGCTTGGTGCAAGGGCTGGATTCTCCTGTTTCTTACTGTTGTGCGTTGGGAGTTAGTTCAGTAGAGTTCTCTAGCATAGTGTGTGTGTGAATGAATGTGGCTGTGAAATGCTTTGTCTCACCATATGTAGCTCTGGTCGAAAGAATTTTTATTCTGTAGGTTTCAATGTACTTGACTCTTCCTGTCAAAAAAACCCAAAAAACAATCTGACTGTTTCACATTTCCCTCCAAATAGAAAACTTTGCTTTAAGTTTCTTTCACAGACTCTGCTAGTACTTGAGTAATTAATTTAGCAAGTGATGACCATGTATTTACTCAGCAAACTATAAGAAAAGGCAGATGAATTTCTGTACAACTAACATGAAGGTACATGTGAACACTAGCTTAAAGTAGATAACAAAAAAAAAAAAGCAGACAATGAATTACAGGTTTTTATTTTGTTTTTTTGGTCATGACTTTGCTTTGCTGGGGTAGGGTGAAATGTTACAAAAACAGGAGCCGTGTAACACTGGAAGAGAGTGCCTATTTTCACCTGCAGCACTACAGCTAAATTGTTTGCGAAGTACCCTTGTCCTAAAGCAGCAAGTGTCAGGTGTGATCATAGAAGGGAAAAGAGGAGCTAATCTCTAGCCAGAGAGGATATTTGTTTCCCTTTGTATAATTATCTGCCAGAACTTCTCATGTTCTTCAGTATTTTTCTTTCATCTTAAAGGTAATGGGAAATTCCTCAGAGTTCCAGAAAGCAGTGAAGTTAGTGATTGACACAGTTTCTTTTGACAAAGATTCAACAGTCCAGGTGTTTGAGGCAACGATCAGGTATGTTGTCATGAACATCTAATTAAAGAGCTTTACATGAGCATCTGGAAACATTACAAGAGGTGTCTTTGGCTCAGAAAGACAGCAAGACACGAATTAATATTACTGCTTAAGTGCTAATACAATGGGGCTTCCTTAACCTTTATGCAATTAAAAGGTTTCACCCGTGATCTTTCAAACGAATTGGTCTTTTGTTTGAGCTATAAAGTTGAAACGGAAGCCAGTTATGGAGGTCAGTTTCACAGAGAATTATTTGAAATGTTCTTATTGAACAAGATGTATTTTAAGAGTTACTCCATTACTTCCAGAATTGCTTCAGCTGATCCTCTTTTGGGGGAGGTTTTCAGTGATTTATACAAAAATTTCAATTTCAGATTTCTAAAGAAGTGTACTCTGTATACTGTAGATACACTTGACATATTTTGATGAGTGGGTTTTAAGTATAGGTGATACTCCGGTATAGGTGAACAAACGGCAGCATCACCATTTACCATAAACGGTAACAAGTATGGTGGAACTAAGACTGTTACTATCTTTACTACTTCTCTCTGCCCCACATGGTCTCTGAAGACTACAGGTCTGATAACATTTTTCCCAAGCGACTCGAAGCTGTTGACCATAATTGCCCTGAGAAAATACAGTAGCTCTTGGGAGCAAAGGCTGAATATTTGTTTCTCGCTTATATTTTAGCATGAGTTGAAATGATCTTCAACCCTTCAATATTTATTTATTTTTTTTTCTTAAATGAGGTCAAGATGCCCCAACTCATGTATGCTTGGAAATGCTGGTGTCACCCTTGGATGACTTGTACTAATAGAAGATCCCTAGTCCTTCAGGCTTTTAGGTGGGGATTTCTGTAGGGTCAGTTTAGGGGCTTCAGCACTCGGTCTTTTTTTGCCTGTCATCCAAAAAGGCACCATGCGGCCTGGGACTGGAATTCATCTTTTGCCTTTTTCTTTTGTACCCAGTACTTGATCCTCTGCAGGTTGAAGGTTCTGTTGGTGCAGGGTCAGGTCTTACCCTCTTTCCTGACTTCCAGATATCTTCTGTCCTCAGTTTGACACGTCAGTTTCCTCTCTAAATCACTTGTCCCCTTCAGTCGAGATATGGTTCGTCCTTTCTCTGACAGTCGGCTCCCTTTTGGAAGCTTACTTTGAGAAACCACTGTGGGTTAAGACTCCTAAATGTCTTCCTTATCTGCCTGTATCATTGTAGTAGTCCTTAAGGGATATAAATTAATTATTGAAAAAAGCTTTCCAAACAAGTCTGGGCAGTTTCACTGAATTCTGGTTAGCTCTGATGTGACTTGACCTCTGGACACTTGGAAAAGGCTTGTTCACTCTTTTGTGGCCCTTTGGCTAAGATCAAGTATAGGTCTTTGCCATCTGATAAGGATCTGTATATTGGCATATAGGGACCAATCATGTAATTCTCTGTTGCAAAGTCAGTTGGTGTATGAGATTTGTCATTCCTCTCTCTCTATCTTCACTAGGATTTTGGGAAGTTTGCTGTCTGCCCACATCATAATTACAGATACTAAGCAGCCCTTTGGTGACATGACTATTAAGGATTATGATAATGAACTCTTGCATATGGCTCACGACCTGGCAGTGAGATTACTACCTGCCTTTGAGAACACCAAAACTGGAATTCCGTATCCACGGGTAGGTATAATACCATGTATATTGACCTCTGGGCATAGCTTGCTTTCTCGTATTTATAAGGAAATACAGCTCCTTCTGATTCTGTGGTATCTGACTTCAAAAGTAAGTGACTTATGCTATCTGATACTCTGCAGTTTCTTTTGAGGCCTTCCAGTCTGTGTGCTTAGTTTAAGATAAATAATTTAACAGCCAGCCTATTCCTGTTCAGATAACATAGAATACTTATTCTTCTTTAGTCAAACTGTACAAGATTCTTCTTTTTCTAATGCTTTCTCATTACTTTAAAAAGCTAACCCACAACACTAAAAGTAGCATGTTCAATGAAAGACTAAAAAAAATAAAGTAAGCAGACTTCTAAGCTTGGTCCGGCAGTAGGCCGGGAGCACTGTATCATCTGGATGCCATCTGCAAGGCTTGGGCTGCAGTGTAGGGAAGGAAAAAAAGTAAAAGAGAACAAAATTTGACATCGGGAAGCACTACTTCACAGTCAGGGCGGCTTGGATCTGGAACCAACTTCCAAGGGAGATGGTGCTCGCTCCTCTCCTGGGGGTCTTCAAAAGGAGGCTAGATAATCACCTAGCTGGGGTGATTTGACCCCAGCATTCTTTCCTGCCCGTGGCCGGGGGTCGAGCTTGATGGCCTGCTCAGGTCCCTTCCGATCCTACCAGCTATGAAAAATGGTAACCACTACCTTGATAGGAGAGTAACTTTAGTGCTGTCAGTCAATTAATATTAAGATAATGCCCTGAAAGAGTAGAATTTAAATGTGAATATAGCTTAAAGTCTTCTGTGTTCTTACATTGGTAGTCTGTGGCAATTTAGATGTCATTGGATATATTTATCCAGCCGAGTTAGGAAACCCTTCTTGGCTATGGCATAGAAGTAGTGATTGCACTTGCCTGGGCAAATGTAGGGTTTTCAAGGAAGAAGTCCGAACATAAACAGTGTAAACCAGTGCTGCAGTATGCTTTTCATTTTAAACAAATGAATTGCTCCCAGGCCTTTGGTACTGTTTAGAGCTTTGCTTGGTTCACCTGCTTTGGAAGCGGGAGGAACCCTTTTTAGACTGTGTTAATGCTGAGTGGTTAATGCTTGGGCCTGATGGACATATTCATGACTTCTATTTTCCTCCAATCTGATTTACTCTCATACTGTAGAACAGTAATTCTCACAGCACTGATCTTTTTCAGGGGTGATGTGGAGTGCCCAAAGCAGTGTTAGGTGTGTAAACATGATTCATATTATAAAACCAGAGATTTCAAATAGGAATCCTCACGGTAAAAAACATTCTGCCCTGTTGTGGTCTTGCTGAGTTCTTTGCAACAGAAGAATTGTGCACTTTATTTTTCTGTAGTAAAAAAACCAAGCGAAAACTAAGAGCTGGCATTTTCCCAAGGGGGGTGCCTTGAGTCTAAAAGGGTTGAGAACCACTGCTGTAGAAAAATCAAAACCGCCAAGTACTCTATTTGTTTCTTACTGTTGTTCTGAATTCTGGGCGGCAGTGGAACTGACAGGACCCACCTTGCTAGCCATTCCTTGCTTCTTGAAGTTTGGGTAGCACAAGGAAGAGGCATTTTGAGCAGTCAGAGACCAGGTGATGACTGCAGGAGAGAAGTTGCCTTTTTGCATTCCCGCTACCATTGCAATGGCTGGGGAAGGAACTAACGTTAACATGAGATCTGTGCTGGAAACGAGGAGAAAAGTGGACTGAAGATTGGATGAGTGATTTGGCAGAACATGAGCAATAGTGACTGATTTGTAAACCCTCAACAGAAAAATAAACACTGGCTAAGAAGTTGACTGGAAATGAAATGATGACACACCTGACAAACTGCTTTGCATGTCTGAATGTATGGCTTGTGGGGAGGAGGGGTGAGAGTGAACTGGTCTTTCACCCTGACTAGTGAGCTTGAACCCAGGCCCGGCAGATGGCACATACACTTCTGGATATCTGGGGTTTAGTGCTTCTGACTAGCACTTTTCTGACAGCTTAGCACAGGGATTGTCAGCCGGGGGTAAGCATACCCCCAGCAGTACTTGAGAAGGCCCTAGTGGGTATGTGTGGGTGGTGGCGATGGAGCATTGCCACTCACCAGGCCACGCAGGCACTGACAGGATGCAGGGGGCGGGGGAAGCCCACACGCGGCAGTTTCCACTGCTCCGCATCTGGCTGAGCGCCACCCCCACCCCACTGCCCTCCTCTGCTCTGTGTCCAGCCACTGAGGGTACGCTGCTCTGTGCCCAGCTGTTGGGGGTACACTGATCCAAAAAGATTGAAAACCCCTGGCTTAGCAGACTGAATGTATTGTGGTGGGCACCAGGTCAGGTTTGCTTCATCGTGTGTCCTTCTAACTAGTTTCATAGTTTCTAGGGTCGGAAGGGACCTGAGC